CCTCTGGGGCTCCGGATCGCGGAGGGTGCTGCGCCACCGTCTCGGTGTCGGCCCCCGCGGGCCTCCCCGAACCTTCCCCACCTCCTGGGCCCAAGGGACGTGGGCTCGAGCGGGCGAGCAGGGGTGAGGGAGCAGCCCCCGCCTGCGCCCCCTCTGCTCCCCCCGAGCCCCTTGACACTGGGCTGGGCATCGCGGCCTGAAGTGCCCGGGATGGCGAGCCCGCCGCTGCACGGGCCCCCGGCGCCGGCGGGCGGCGATGGCCCCAACCTCAACAACAACAACAACAACAACAACCACAGCGTGCGCAAGTGCGGCTACCTGCGCAAGCAGAAGCACGGTCACAAGCGCTTTTTCGTGCTGCGCGGGCCCGGCGCGAGCAGCGATGAGGCGACAGCGGGCGGGGGTCCGGCGCCGCAGCCTCCGCGGCTCGAGTACTATGAGAGCGAGAAGAAGTGGCGGAGCAAGGCGGGCGCCCCGAAGCGGGTCATCTCGCTGGACTGCTGCCTGAACATCAACAAGCGCGCGGACGCCAAGCACAAGTACCTGATCGCCCTCTACACCAAGGACGAGTACTTCGCCGTGGCCGCGGAGAACGAGCAGGAGCAGGAGGGCTGGTACCGCGCGCTCACCGACCTGGTCAGTGAGGGCCGCGCGGGTGCCGGCGACTCGGCCCCCACCGCGACCCACGCCGGGTCCTGCAGCGCCTCCTTGCCCGGCACCCTGGGCGGCTCTGCCGGCTCCGATGACAGCTACGGGCTGGTGGCGCCCGCCACGGCCGCCTACCGCGAGGTGTGGCAGGTGAACCTGAAGCCCAAGGGCCTGGGCCAGAGCAAGAACCTGACAGGCGTGTACCGCCTGTGCCTGTCTGCGCGCACCATCGGCTTCGTGAAGCTGAACTGCGAGCAGCCGTCGGTGACGCTGCAGCTCATGAAACATCCGCCGCTGCGGCCACTCCGACAGCTTTTTCTTCATCGAGGTGGGTCGCTCGGCTGTCACCGGCCCCGGCGAACTGTGGATGCAGGCTGACGACTCAGTGGTGGCCCAGAACATCCATGAGACCATCCTGGAGGCCATGAAGGCGCTCAAGGAGCTCTTCGAGTTCCGGCCGCGCAGCAAGAGCCAGTCGTCTGGCTCCTCTGCCACTCACCCCATCAGCGTCCCCGGCGCGCGCCGCCACCACCACCTGGTTAACCTGCCTCCCAGCCAGACGGGCCTGGTGCGCCGCACGCGCACCGACAGCCTGGCTGCCACCCCGCCGGCCACCAAGTGCAACTCCTGCCGGGTGCGCACGGCCAGCGAGGGCGACGGCGGCGCGGCGGCCGGGACCGGGGCGGCGGGCGGCAGGCCGGTGTCGGTGGCCGGGAGCCCCTTGAGCCCGGGGCCGGTGCGTACACCTCTGAGCCGCTCGCACACCCTGAGCGCCGGCTGCGGCAACCGCGCGAGCAAGGTAACGCTGGCGCCGGCAGGGGGCGCCCTGCAACACAGCCGCTCCATGTCTATGCCCGTGGCGCACTCGCCCCCAGCAGCCACCAGCCCAGGCAGCCTGTCGTCCAGCAGCGGGCATGGTTCGGGCTGCTACCCGCTGCCTCCGGGCCCGCACCCGCACCTGCAGCACCCCCTGCACCACCACGCGGGCCAGCGGCCCTCCAGTGGCAGCGCTTCAGCCTCTGGCTCCCCCAGCGATCCCGGCTTCATGTCCCTGGATGAGTACGGCTCCAGCCCTGGGGACGTGAGAGCCTTCTGCAGCCACAGGAGCAACACGCCTGAGTCCATCGCCGAGACACCCCCTGCCAAGGATGGGAGTGGGAGCGAGCTATACGGGTACATGACCATGGACAGGCCCCTGAGCCACTGTGGCCGCCCCTACCGTCGAGTCTCAGGGGACGGAGCCCAGGACTTGGACAGAGGGTTGAGGAAAAGGACTTACTCCCTGACCACACCTGCTCGGCAGCGGGCGGTGCCCCAGCCCTCCTCTGCGTCCCTGGATGAATACACCCTGATGCGGGCCACCTTCTCTGGCAGCTCTGGCCGCCTCTGCCCATCCTGCCCCACGTCTTCTCCCAGAGTGGCCTATCACCCTTATCCTGAGGACTATGGTGACATTGAGATTGGGTCCCATAGGAGCTCCAGCAGCAACCTGGGCACGGATGATGGTTACATGCCCATGACCCCTGGAGCGGCCCTCATGGGTGGTGGCAGTGGCAGCTGCAAGAGTGACGACTACATGCCCATGAGCCCCACCAGCGTGTCTGCCCCGAAGCAGATCGTGCACCCACGGGTTGCTGCTGCAGCTCTGCCCCCCACCGGCCCTGCAGCAGCGCCGGCACCCACCAATGTGGCCGGCAGGGCCTTTCCGGTGAACAGGGCCAGCTACAAGGCTAGCTCCCCGGCGGAAAGCTCTCCTGAGGACAGTGGCTACATGCGCATGTGGTGTGGCTCCAAGCTGCCTACGGAGAGCACCGACAGCAAGCAGCTTCCCAACGGGGACTACCTCAACATGTCCCCCAGCGACGCGGGCACCGCGGGAACCCCACCCGACTTCTTCACCGCAGCCTTGCACGGCGCTGGAGAGATGCTCAGGAGCGTCCCTGGCTACTGCTACAGCTCTTTACCCCGCTCCTACAAGGCTCCCTACACCTGCAATGGGGACAACGACCAGTACGTGCTCATGAGCTCCCCCGTGGGGCGCATCCTGGAAGAGGAGAGGCTGGAGCCTCAGGCCAGCGTGGGGACCACGCACCCGGCCAGCAGCGTGGTGGCTGGGGTCGGTGGGGGCAGCCACGCTCAGCCTCCTCACTCCGTAGTGCCTTCTGCAGGGAGGCAGAGTGGCAGCGGCAGTGGCCGCCCCGATGGCTTTTTGAGCCAGCGCTGCCGGGCAGTGAGGCCCACGCGCCTGTCCCTGGAGGGGCTTCAGACCCTGCCCAGCATGCACGAGTGCCCTCTACCGCCCGAGCCCAAGAGCCCGGGCGAGTACATCAACATTGACTTTGGCGAGGCTGGAGCGCGCTTGTCTCCCCCCGCCCCTCCGATGATGCTGGCTTCCGCGGCCTCGTCCTCCTCGCTGCTGTCTGCCAGCAGCCCGGCCTCGTCCCTGGGCTCTGGCACCCCGGGCACGAGCAGCGACAGCCGGCAGCGCTCCCCGCTCTCTGACTACATGAACCTGGACTTCAATTCCCCCAAGTCACCCAAGGCGGATACCCAGAGCGGGGACCCCGTGGGCTCCTTGGATGGCCTCCTGTCCCCTGAGGCCTCCTCCGGGTACCCGCCGCTGCCCCCGCGCCCTGCCGCCCCCTCCTCCAGTTCGCAGCTGCAGCCACCTCTGCCACCCCCTCCAGGGGAGCTGTACCGCCTGCCTCCTGCACCCACATCCCAGGGCCCCAGTGCTGCCTCCTCTTCGTCCTCGGAGACTGGGGACAATGGTGACTACACCGAGATGGCCTTTGGCGTGGCTGCCACCCCGCCACAACCCATCGTGGCCCCCCCCAAGCCAGACGGTGCCCGCGTGACCAGCCCCACGTCTGGCATGAAGAGGCTGAGTCTCATGGATCACGTGTCTGGGGTCGAGGCCTTCCTGCAGGCTGGCCAGCCCCCAGACCCCCACCGGGGGGCCAAGGTCATCCGTGCAGACCCACAGGGGGGCCGCCGCCGCCACAGCTCTGAGACCTTCTCCTCCACCACCACTGTGACTCCCGTGTCGCCGTCGTTCGCTCACAACCCGAAGCGCCACAACTCGGCCTCCGTGGAAAATGTCTCTCTCAGGAAAAGCAGCGAAGGGAGTGGCAGCGGCGTCCTTGGTGGAGGTGACGAGCCCCCTGCGTCCCCTCGCCAGCTGCAGCCACCACTCCCCCAGCAGGCACGGCCATGGACACCAAGTCAGCCTGGGGGCCTGGTTGGCTGCCCCGGGGGCAGTGGCTCTCCCATGCGCAGGGAGACCTCAGCTGGCTTCCAGAATGGTCTCAACTACATTGCCATCGATGTAAGGGATGAGCCGGGGCTATTGCCGTCTCCACAGCAGCATCCACACCTGCATCCGCATCCGCAGCCAGGCGACAAGAGTGCCTGGGGCCGGACCCGTAGCCTCGGGGGTCTCATCAGCACTGTGGGGGCCGGCAGCACCGGTGGGGTGTGTGGGGGGCCAGGCCCTGGAGCGCTGCCCTCCAACACCTATGCCAGCATTGACTTCTTGTCCCATCACCTGAAGGAGGCCACCATTGTGAAAGGTGAGGCCCTTCACCTTGTGGGGGGTGGGAGGAAGGGTGGGAAAAGTGGGTGAGCGTTGGTGGGTTCACTCCTCTTCCCTCTTTTGGTACCTTGACCTAAATGCCAAAATATTGGCCCCGGCTTCTTGTTTTGTTTTACTTTAGGCTCCTGTGTCCTCCTCTTTCCCCAAAGACTTTGCCAAGAACAGTCAAAGCATCTTTGAGTTGAATGTGAAGCTTCCGATTCAGGGAACTACTATTTGTTGTTGTTGTTTTGGCCCCAAATGTTTCTTCTTTCCCACAGTCCTCTTCCCACCTATTAACACTGGACATGCTCTCCAGGTCCCCACCTGAAACCTATCTTCTTGATCTGAGAGTGGGAAAATTCTGCTAGGAAGGGCCCTAGAAGTTCTGACTTCTCCCAGGCTTGTAACCTTCATTTTTCTCTTTGTTTTCCTGGAGCAGGGCCCCAGCTGATTCTTGCTGAGCCTCAAAGTTTATAAAAACAGGCTCGAAAGTCACTTAGGAAATGAGCATCCATTTTTGTGGCCGCTAAAGGGAACAGTTAAGCATTTACAGTTTACACATAAACTGTAGGGGCTTTTCCATTAGAGGCATTCCTTTTCTCCTAAGGGGCTGAAATAGTAATGCCGCTTAAACACAGCTTAAAAGCAGTGGTTCTCAAACCTGAGGATACCTGGGAGTCACCTGGAGAGGCTGCTGAGACCAGGATGGCTGGGCTGTATAAAGTCCCAGGGATTCTGATGCAGTAGGTCTGGGGTGTGGCCCAGAATTCGCATTTCTAAGAAAGTCTCCAGGTTGTGCTGCTGCTGCCGTCCTTTGAGAACCCTGTCCCAGGTCAGACCCACCCGAGGAGGTATGAGAAATAACCTATGGGGCTCATGCCAGACACTCAAATAAAACATCCAATGGGCAGAGTGGAGGCAGGAGCATTTTTCAGTTGCCCAGGTGATAATATGCAGCCAGGATTTAGAATCAGTGCTTTAGAGAAAACAAGTGAAGACAACATCATGGGGCTTTTCAAGAACAATCGGATAGGCTGGTACCCCGTATTGTTCTTCACATTCTCATCAAATATCCATGAGGAGAGAGAGACTGCTTGCTTTGCAGCTGGCGGTGCATTCTGACTGTCTCAAACTTTGAATGATGTGGGGGAGAGAGAGAAATAAAGGGGTGAGGGATGTTCAAGGTTTTCTTCTTTAATTGTGTAGCTGATTCTCTGCAGGGTTGCTAGTAACAGAGGCACTGTGGGAACCACAGAACACATAGTATGGTTGTTGTTCTAAGGTCAACAGTTTGCAGGGGTTACAACAAGGTGATGATCAAGGTGGCTTGGGGATCCATATGCCGTTTTCTTTTTCTTTTTTTTTCTTAGAGTAAACAGATCAGTTTAATGCTGTCTAAATGCAGCATGTGTTTGATAATATCCATGGGATTTAAAATTATAGCTGTAGGGTAAGTGCCCTGTTATTGTAATATAACAGAGGAAAAGCTATTTACGTTTTTATTAAAACCATAGAATAAAAGATGAAAAGAGTCACAGAATTGTAAGGAATGTGGTGCTTCAGTATCTAATTAAATCAATTGGAAGTTGTCAGAATGTTTCCCTTAAATGGTGACTCTCAGCTGAAGGTCATTTTCCTTGGAGTTACAATAGGCACTACAGGTACTTCGGAAAAATTGCTAGTGTGTCATGGAGTTAAGGATTAGCTGCCTTTCAAGACATAAACCATATAAACACACCATATAACTGGAATCAAGTGGTGGTGGTGGGGGTGGGGTGTACACACACACATTTATTTGGTATGCCCAAATGGGTATATGCCACAGTGAACATGAAAGTACATTCTGCTGAAATCTGATTCTAATCAGAAAAACAGTCTGAGAACATAACACCTTTTACTGTTTTTGGTGGAGTAGGCGGTAAAAACCTGGACTGGATTCAGGAGAGCCCCAGGAGTGGGTTCTTGTAGTAACAGGAGGAGTGAGCTGGAGTGTGCATGCGACTGCAGGCCTAAAAGGAGTCGAGGCCTTTTTGATAAAGTAGATACATTGAGAAACGTGATTCGTGTATGATATAATGCCCTTTTCAGACTAGGGAAAATTTTAAACGGCAAGAGATAAGTTTAGCTAGAGACCCTGTTTAGCTTGTTTTGTTTAAGATTTCCCACCAGTATAAAATTCCTTTCAACCTATAGGATTCAGGATTCTGAAATCAAAACAGCAGTTTGTATGTTTCATGGTGGCTGAACAAAGATGAGAGATCGTTTTGGTTGCTGTTTTTCCAAAGTCTGTGTGGTAAACACCATTTTAAGAAGGAAAAGGGTTCTTTTTAAACAAAATTGATAATTGCAATTGATCCATTGTGCCAAAACCACATTAAAAAAAAAAAAGGATCACATGCCAAAATGGGTTTCTAGTAAACTCATTTGAACACAGAGAACAGTAGAACAGGAAAGAGGAGGGTGTCATCTTAATTAATGTGCAGGCTAAACTGTGGTCTGTGAAGCCAGACGAACATTTAGAAACTCAGAATGAGCATCCACTTGTATTTAACTCATGTATTCCCGTAGACATTTGTTTGGGGTGCTCATAAATAAGAAGCTCACAGGAGATTAATAATTTAATCCTTGGAGAGAATAATTTCTAGAAGGAAGACGTGCAAAGCATTTCTTTGAAGATGAACTAGAAAAAGAACTTCCTGGGTTATTGCGTGCACTGCTCTGGCTCTCAGAAGTGGCATATGTTTGTTTCCACATCGAGCTTCTCGGGTTCTGCATGGGAAAACCGCACTGGTTATACTGAAGCAGAATCATTTGGGGGCCCTGGGTAGTGTTTGGTATTTGCATAAGTGGTGACCAAGACTAAAGTTCCAGCAATCTTTGATAGTTGTTTACAATAAAATTGGGAGTGGGGGTGAGGTTTCAATGCTCAAGCCAATTAAAAGTTAGTACACTTGAGATAGATGTACATAATGTAGACATATTAGTCCAGAGAAAATAAAAATTTAAGTCTAAAGTTTGCATCTCATTTGTAAGTAGGGGAGGTTATTTACCGTGTATTTTATCTGTGTGCATGTAGAAAAATCCAACCAATCTGTTAGCCTGTAGTTGTTGGGGAAGTTGGAAGTATGTTACTGAATTTACTATGCTTTAAAACTACTTCTAAAAATTAACTCTTACATATTTTTGTATTTTGATTATAGATTGGTACATACCAAAAATAAGGTATTTTAATGTTCGTTTTTAGTGGGATTTTTATTCTAAAATTGTTTTTTCTATGTGTACAAGGCAGATTAGGTAAGAATTGCCACTGGAAGCATCTGTATTTAAATTCTGTTTGAGTAGAAGGGTCTGTTTATTCATAGCCTATGGTAAAGGAATCATGGAATAAGGAATGTTTCCACAGGAACAGTGCAGTCAGGATGTATGTTTAAAAGTATTGCCTGTTGAAGTCTTAAAGCAAAGAACTTGAACACTTTCAGAACGCCAGTGAGATTGCTTGACAAACAATACCCCTTATTTTTTCTGTTGTGCATGTTTTTCTGCTTTAGCTGGATAGCTTTGTCATAATAGGATAATAAGGTGCCCTGCTCCTACCCCATTCGTAGTTGTCTAACGAAGATGCTAATGAAAACACAGAGGCTTTCGTGAATGAAAGTCACATGACTTGTTCTATTTCCTTTATTGAAAGAGAAACCTTTACAAAAATAGTACTTCGTAGAAGGAAGCATACATAGTATGTGGAACACTAAACCAGAAATCAGGAAACCAGGTTTCCAGTTGCTGATCTTAATTAGTCTTTGTGTGACCAGAGGGAAGCCATTTAATCCCTCTTTCTCACTTTCTCCGTCTGTAAAATGGGATCATTATAAGCCTCTCCCTTCAGGGTCACAGAGCCACTGGGAGGGCCAGGAGATAGTAAATATTAACAGTGGTTTAAGCTCTTCTAAAGAAATGTGCTAACACATCTAATGACGCTATTGACACTTGTTACCTTGAAACTGTGAGAATATACAGGAAAGATGCTTTTGTAAATGGGCGTTCTCTTAGAAAAAGACAAAAACTCATAGTTGTCTGAGTGGAGCCAATCAATACCTATTTAAGAAATGTTTGCCTTTTCTGTTTGACTGCTAGTTCCACCTCAGTCTCCAGGAACCATTGTTTTTTCCCCTCTTTTCTTTTTTAACTTTTGTTTGTTTGTTGCTGTTTTTTTTCATAGATAATTATCAATTGTAAGGAAAGAGTGTCTTAAATTACATAATAAAATAACAATTAAGGAAAATAGTGCCCTAATCCTGAAACTATACTAAGACCATACTTTTGATTACCATTTTTAAAAAATTTGTTTACATATTAAGAGATGTCGTCAAATGGTGTCAAGATGAAAATGTATAATTAGAATATACATTTATTTAAATTGACAGTTTTGGTTCTTCATGCTGGCTGCAGTGAAAGGCAAACACAACTCTTAAACTTTCATTAGTTGAATCATCCATTGTTCAACCCTGGAGTTTCACTCTTTGGGGTTGATTTAATTAGAATGGTCACCCTTGTGCTGTTTTAATTTGTTTGGTTGTCAAACATTAGGAAAAACTTGTAGTGTATGGTACTTCTGTAGTTCCACAGACCACCCCCCCCCCCCACAAAAGGAATTTTATTAGATAGTTAAGGTGTTATATCCTTTAGAACTATTAGTATTTAAATGAATGTCTTTCTGAAGAGGAGAACTTGCAGAAGTTTTAGTAACAGCTCAGGTATAATGGGTTTTCTGTTAAAATTCCCACTAATGCATTTTCTGTAGAAGCATAGTTCCAAGAGCTAGTTAACTTTTGGTATCAGATTTGGCAAGTGGAGAGGTTTCTTTGTTTTGTTTTTTTTGGGTAGCACAGAATCAAGTGTTCCCATTTCACCTTAGAAACTTAAGGGAAAATGTAACTTTACTCTTTTATCTGCACTGCCAAGTAGAGTGGGGGAAACACTCGGAGGGAAGCAAAGCCTATGCCCTGCCCCAAAGCCAGCCCTTCCCTGGGGCCACTATAATGGGGACTTCTCTGCAGACTGTACTGCAGACAGGCAGAATGTGTGTCTCTATACAAGTCAGGCAAGGCATTTTCATGTTGCCGTTTTAGTAGACAAATGGAAAAAAAATTTCCGAACCTCCGTAATAATCAGTTCATGCTATTTGTCAGTGGCAGGTTTTGTGAAAACAGAGCTATCCAAATTTAAATGGGAACATTCTTTCTGTGTTAACTTGGTTGGTGTGAATGTGTTCTTAGGAATTGCAGTGGTTATTTTGAATCATTCACGGTAGATTATTATAGACAGTTGAGTGGTAGGTTTTTTGTGAACTGGTGAAGTTATCACTCAAGGTGGAGGAAATGCTGAGATTGATCATTGCTACTGATTATTCGATTTCTTTCTAGATAGCTACAGAGACATATTAACTATGCACTAAAATAAAAGGCACAGAAGAAAGTTTGACTAGAGAGAGTTAGAGTTTATTTTGCATATTGTTTTGTGGGCACAAGGAATACAGTATACTTCTCTGCATGGTATTGGAACTGAATTCATTGAATTTTGCTGAAATAGAATCTGGTTAAAACTTTTAGGCTCCCGATAACATAGTCAGTTTAGGGATTCTGATTTCTTTTGAGCTAGAAAAATATTAAATTTGCAGAAAGTCACTTCTACATGTCCAGAAACTTTATAAAACGAGCAAGCAAATGCATCTTTAAACTTGGCCTGTATTTGTGAATGTGACATAGTGCTTTTTCTATGCAAACTTAAAAGTAGTTACTTAAATCAGTCTATCTTTTGCCTCCAAATTCTAGGTATAACTAACAACACCAAAACTTGGTGGGCAATGAATGATTTTGAAAGGACGCTATTGAAATTGGAGACGACAAAAATGTAACCATTATTCTGATCAATATATATATTTTTTATTCTGATCAATATTGAAAGATAAGTGCAAGCCCCTCTCCCCTTTGTATCAGAATATTTGCCTAAAATTCAAAAAGGTGTTTTTCTTTACTTCATAGTGTTAAGACATTTTCATATGTCTAGTATCACATAACATCCAAAAACCTTATGACATAGACAGGGCCACTTGGAGCCCCAATTTTTAAAATAAGGAACCTGCAGCTTCAAGAGGGCTAGTGATTTACCCAAGATTCTCAAGCCAAAGGGAATAGTGTTGGGCTTCATACAAAGATGCTGTTTCACCAGCATTTTCCTATAACATTTTGTTTTTTATTTCACTTGGGTGATAATTTCTCTGTGCATTATTCATTAGAGTAAAATGGAGACAGTTAAAACGCAGAAAGACTGGGCATTGAAGGAAAGTCCCCTCTGAAGAGTTTAGGATTTGATACTACTTTCAGGGCTCTCATATTGTCAGGGGATTTTAGGGTCAAATCAAGTTGGTTGGTTGGTCATCTCTGTTCAGGGTGTGTGTGTGTTTTTTTTTTTTTTTTTTTTAGTCTCGCTTCCAGGACTTCTAGTAGTCTGCAAGGTGGAAAACTTACATTCCTTCTGCTGTTTTTGTTTCAGAAAAGCAAACTATATATATTATACTTGATAAGATACCTCCCCATCACTACCACCACCAAATACATTAAAGCTCTTTCCACACGGTGTAGTGACAACCAGGGAAAAATACAAGGTCGTTTTGAGGGAAAAGGGTAGGGGAACCATTGGTATAATGTAACTTATTTTTAAGGTTGTGAAAACAGAGCCCAAGGGAGGTCGGGAGTCTTTTCCAAGGTCACTGATTTAATTAGTTGGTAGGGATGTTTGTAAATATTATCAAGAAAGAATAGGGAATTCTCTGTCTCTGTAGGTCTTTGTATACCGATGAATAACTTTCTCCCAGGATATGGTCTGTTCCCTCTAGAACAGTTTAGTATTTGGGGAAGTGGTATCCATCTTTTTACTTTGGAACATTTCAGTAAATTCTTTCATGCATAGACAAGGTATGCTAGTGGGCAGAAATAGAGAATGCAGAGGTGTTCCTAAATCAGGAGTATGTTTTAATCAGGGAACCAGGGCTGCTCGTGACTATGTGAGCCGTGTTACTGATGAGGCAGAAGAGTGAAGTTTTGCTAAATACTCTCATGTGCTTGTGAAATAAAAAGGAAAAGAAATAAAATTTGGGGGATTATTCAGATCAAAAGACCTCTATTTGGGAAAATGGAAGTTCTTGCTCTTTGTAGATTGGTTCACCCTGGGCCACTAAGGGGTCATTTAGTGTTTCGGTTGCTGCTTGAGGTGTCTTTAAGATGCATTTACTCTATAAGTAGTATATCATATACTCCTCATTATGAATAAGTCCATTAACAGGTTCCTAAGAAATGAGTCATTAACCTATTTAATGATGAGTTTATTTGAAAACTAACCAATTTAGAATTTGCCTAAGAACCGATAAGTAAGTCATCAGTTGTTGCAAGGTATTCTGCAGAGTGAATTCTTTTACCAGTGTCTTTTTTAAAGGCGCCCCCCCTTTTTTTCCTAACGAAAACATTTAATTGAGTTTTTATGTGAAGAGAAATGTTTTTCCCAAAGGTGCTACCTTTCTGCTAATGTGACTATAATATAACCCCACATGCAAAAAAATAAAGAAGACCTAAGCAAACATAAAAAGTCATAAGCTACCCATATTTTTCAGAAATGTAATTGGGCATCCATGGCCTCGTCGTGCTCGTGCGGTGACTCAGGGTTTTGTTTACATTCGCTGTCAGTCTCTGCAGCATCCTAGGAGAGAGTACTTCCTTCCTAGCAGATGGCAGCCTCAGGGCCATGCGCCTGCCGTTATAAGCTATGTGCACAAGTGCTCTACCCAGCATCTCTGTTGACAAGAGGCATGGGATTGGAGACTGTCACACAGGATCAGCAAAATAGGGCAAGGCTTTCTCCTTCCATTGGGGATGAATGGCATGATGAAGCTACTCTTCAGGTTACGAAGAAAGCAAAGTTCAGAATATCCTTGTGGTAGGTTATCTGTTGATCACTTAGCAAGTCAGGCAGAAAAGGTGACAGGGTGGAGATTCTGATGTGCTCTCTAGGGAATCCTCATATTTAAGCCCAGCAGGAGCCATCTGTGAAATCTCCTTCCACTGAGGGCCTGGGAATTGAGCGCTGATTACGTTGCCCAATGCTGGTGGTGGAAAGTCACTGAAAATAGGGATTGAAGTAAGTGGCCATCTGATGCCTTTGAGTTCCCAGGT